AATTCTACATTTCCAATCCAGGACATTACCCAGTATGGGCACTGCAAACCCTCTCCTAAATGATGTAATCACACTGGTGCTGCTATAGTTCTGGTTGATTTGCAGTTTCCATTACAATAAATCCTTGCCGCATATTTCCAGAAGTTCTAGAATGTTTCTGCCCCTTTAAAAAAAAGATACTCCAAGTTCAAACTTGCCACATAAACCAAAACAAACAAACAAACAAACAAAAGCAAGTATATATTTTTCCTTATGCCTCAAAATAATCTGTACATTAAAAAAGGAGGGAAAATGGAATGAATGCTTCTCTGAATATTTACAGTTCCATTCTTAAAACAATAAGGACACTGATAACATTTTTTAATTTTGCAAATCAAGAATATAAAAAAATGTTAAAGGCACAAGAGATTAGCACCCTTTCATCTTGAAGTATTTATATAGCGAAAAAGGGAGAATGAATAGACAGAGGCTTAAGCCTCATAACTGTCTTGCTACAAGCAGGCTTATGACTTCATGATCAGTACTAAAACACTCCATTTTAAACAGCTATTAGGAATAGCTATTGTACATGTCCATGCAAATGTCTTTCCTAAAGAATTTACTATGCATTATAGCAACACGATCCTATTTACACAATAAGTTGTTGTTCCAGTCCATCAAGTACACAAGGAATTTTAATGGATGCTAAAAAAATCAATTAGGCAATGATCCTCTGATTAAACAGGCACATCACACCATTCAAATTCTTTCAAACATATTCATAAATCCAAGCCTTCAAACTTTGCTGAAAATTTTCAAAATCTGTATGTGGATATTTCAAGTACATGATTTTTGAGTTTAACGAAATTCATCACAGAATAAGCATTACATGCTATTATCATGAAAAAGCAACACCATCAGATAACGGCAGGAAAAAAACCCCTTATTTTGATGGCTATTCTTAGGTATTTTTGTTTTTAGCAGAAATGTCTTTACAAAGCACCAGAAGGCTTTCCCTACAACACGTGGCACCAAAGGACAGAAACATTTTGAGGAGGCAATCGAACTAGAGCCAGAAGAAACTGATGAGGGCATCATCAATTGCTAGATGGAGGTCCAAAAAGGGTGGGAAGAGAAAAAGAAGTTAAATGAAAAGGAAAGTATTGTCTTTATAATCAGATATTATTATTCAGACAGTATTTCAATCATAGTGAAATGTATTGCAAAATCAAGCCTGAAGTTTGCAGGTGCCTGGTATCCCTGAATATTAGGATTTTCAATTCTGATATCATCTTTTCGTAATTCCAAGGGATATCTAACTGGAAGTTAGATCAGAAACTCAAACCTGAGAGTATGTTTTTTCTGCCTTCTATTTCTACATACGTTCCCTGAAGTCCTGGGTAAGGAATGCTAATAATCCTAAAATTACATTCACCCCACGCAAACCAGGAGAGACAGTACCTGAGATGATGAGATAGTATTAAAGCCTTGTTGCAACTTGTGTTTCAGTTACGCTGAAGACTGACAACATAAGCACAGGTCATCTTTCTCCCAGCTTTCCCTTGCCTTCTTCACCCCCTTTCCCACTACAGGTGGATGGGAAAGAAACAAAACCCCAAGTTTCCTTGGAATATAAAAATCCCTATGTAATTAATTCACCATATATATTTATGCATACTGACGAGAGATACATCAAGTATGCAATCCTATAAATTACACATATGACTCTTAGTATCACCTCCTTTCCCATACCTCCCCTTTCATACAGGCGTCAAATCAGCCCAAATCCTTTATATATTTATTTGACTCACACTGAGTTAACTGGACATGTCCTTAAAATTCTACAGAATGCTGCAGCATTCTTCAAAATGCTTAACATTTTGTCGCAGCAATCTATCACCCATCTTCACATGACAAATCTAGATGTCTTTTGTAAAGTGTCAGAGAAAAAGGTGAAAATCTCAGGTTATCATTAGCTTTATCCTACATGCCTACTTTTATATCTCAATCCATTTATCTGTAGTTATATTAGTGCAAAGATATTGTCTCCATTTCAAATTTTGCTCCTCATGTATGGCTTAAAGTGTTGTTCTGGGGTTCATCATTGGTAACTCATCAGAGATGAATTCCAAACCCAAACACTTAGGAGATCTGCTTTCTCTCTTCACAGCATCCTTTGCAGTCATACCACAGAATATATCCCATACCTTCCATAATCACTTCAACATTCTGAGATTTCCGCACAGAACATTAAGACAATCTGCAGGTTTATTTGCACCTTCCTGTTTGGTACCAAGCATGCCTAGACCAAGCAGCAGTTGTAAGAGAATGTCTGCAGCATTTCGTAGATAACCCTTTTACAACCGGTTATCAGGCTATGCTTGATATCTGTGCTGCAGATATGTAGACTGACTGCACCTGATAACATTTCATCTTTTTCATCCTCTTTAATCTTTCACTGCTTATGCCAGAGGCCTCCCTTCCTGTGACAGAGCTCTTCCACCTCTGTGCTACAGGCTGGAACACACTATTCCCTGCTGCAGTATGACACAGATGAGCTAACTACATCAAGGCAATTATCTTCAATTCTACCATTTCCATTAATTTTAGCTCAATCTTTAGGGTGTTGTTTGTCATCTTTATTTTTTTCATTTGCAGTATCCTGCAGCAGAGCCTGCAAGTTAAAATCCATCGAGTCCCATAGTTCTAACCTCAAGCCACAACATTTGCTTACAAAGAGCCAGACTTAACATCTCAAGGTCTTCTTCAAAATTCAAAAATCTTCACAGTTTAACAAAGAGCCTTCTTGTTTCATCCAAGGAAACAGAACTGACACCCTCAGCTATCTTTGGACAACAGCGAACCATAATGTAAAATAAGAAAAACATCTCCCATTGATGTTTCCCACCCTTCCTACAGTATGGCACTTCCATCCTCCCACCTATCTACTCAATGCTCTCTCTGCGCAATACTTAGATCTGAGCACTGTATGTGTTTAAGGCCCAGTATTTTTTAACCAATCAAGTTTTTTGAAGTGCTTTGCACTTTGGATAAATTCAATGTGACACGGTAAAGGAGTCCAATTTCCAGAAAGTGCTGAGATTCATCTTCTGAAACTTCTGGCGATATTATTTATTTTATATATATGATATCTAGAAGTAGGTACATGCTACACAGTCAATTTTAACAAGCATAGCTGACTCTCCCTATTTAATATTCACATCACAGGAGTAAAAATCCAGCCAGGAATCAAACTGTGGCATCCTGTGCCAAAGACAACTTACCACTCAGCTGGTAAGTTGGCAATTCAATTTACAAACCTGCATTCCTGCATTCTAATCCTTTGTAGAAAGGTGGTAATATACGAGCAATACGAAAAGAACTGGATTCAGATCATTAGAGGTTCACGAACCAAACACACGAAGCCTTGGAGGCTGTCCAAAACAAAATCATGCCTAGGTGGTGATGTCCGTTCAATAAAAATCCAATGTCATAATTATCCTCTCGCTTTTTCCCCGAAGAGCATTAGTGCTCGGAGCTGCGCCGCAGCTCAGCCACTTACAGTAACGCTGCGAGGAGACGGACAGGGCCTGCAGCCAATGGCGGTGCCAGGTCACTGCCTGCTGACGGGTAATCTACAATTACCAAGCAATTAGCAAATGCAGTGAAAATTCAACACTCATCTCTGCGTAACACAGAATAACTCATTTTTAAATTAAATGTGTGTTTTAATAACTTCACTTTGGCTACAGCCACACAGAGAAAAATAAAGCCTCCTTTATTCAATTTCTCCTCCCCTTTGCAACCGACAAAATGCTTTGCTGTCTGAAACAAGCAACCAAATATACTGTTTGACATTTCTAAACTAAACAATCTCTTCCTCACCAGTATGTATCTATTTAACAACAGAAAAGAACAAAAACTAAGACTGCTGCTAATGGTACTATACTATATTTGAAACTGTTATTTAGTTAACTGCCTGATTAATATCTTGCCCTGCTGGATGGGTGATAACAAGAATTAGCCAGGCACCTATCTGCCAGGGAGTCCAAAATTTTCTTGTCTTCTCTATATTTAACAATAAGTGATATAAAAAAGTTAATCCGCAATCAATCAGTTGCACAAAACAAATGTCTTTTCCCAGTAATGATCAAGTTATTAATCTGTTGTGCTCACAGCACAGTGTAGAGCTCTCATTGCCTACACTCACATCCCTAATTTGAAAAAAAAAAAAAAAATTTAGCTAAACGTTAGCTTATTGATAATCTTGGTTTATCTCTCCCTCTAGAAAAACTGCTGTATCTTCCTTAGTATAGGGTATGCACATTGGGATTGACCTTCTTTAAAAGGGTAGGAAAAAGGCAGAAGAGGTCACCATCAACAGTGAAATTCAAGTAGATAAAAGGAGATTCTTACCTTTCTATACCCTTGGATACAA